TGGAGGCAGGCTGCTTACTTCGCGTCGTTATGGATTCATTTTACTAAAGTTCAATATTTAAAGTTAGATATTCAAACATAAAATACGTGGTGGGACTAGGGTGGATCGAAAACACACGAATTTTAGAATTCGGAAATTGCATCGCGATATTTACTACACCCACATCGAGCTTAAAGTTTTAAAATCTGCATACGATGCAAATTTAAACTTCATTCTTGACAACGTCATAAGCAAAGTAATTTGAAAAAAATAAAATAAAATTACAATAAATGCATGAATCCAGTCAAGCAAATTTAATGAGCAAAGTAGAGCACTGTTAAAAAAAAAATCGTCAAATAAGCGACTTTAGCATTACTAAGATAAGTATTGAATTAGAGATTCAAATGGAGGCTGTTGTGAGTTGCAGAAAGGTCACCTTCATCAGCTTGCCCTCCTCTTCTCTTTATGCCCCCTCCCGCCGTTTTATTATAGTATGTACCTTATTTTAATAAATAACTATCGGAAAATAATTTAAATAAAAATTGTTGCATTTAATATGAAAAAATCTTTGCACCAAAAGTTTTTTTCCGGCAGTGTATATTTTAATTCGTTTTTGTGGCCAATACGTATACAGAAAAAAATCTACATTTTCCATTCATTTTGCTTGCTGTAAAATTTTATCAAGGATGTCAATGAAGGTATAGATATACCTTAGCCACTTCCACCGACAAACGAAACACTAAAAAAATTCCACGAATTAATTCGTAAATGTTTATGTGAGGCATTCATAAAGTTTTAGCTTTGTAGATGCATTAATGATATTCAAAATGCGTTTTAAAAAACCGAATTGGTATAGCTGTACCAATGATGCCACAGAAGGGTTAAAAATACAGAGGGTATTTTCGCATTACTATCCGAATGATCCAGATAATATGCTAGGTCCAGTAGTGGCACCATCAAGCTGTATTTAAATCAAAAAATACATCGAGCTGTTTCTGTACCAGTACCAGATATTGGAGTGGCATTGCCAACGTACATTTAACCCAGCTACTGGACAAGAGAAATGTGCTCCTCCATTTGTTTGCACCTATGAAATCTATCCCCTTCTTTAACATGCACAGGACTTTTGTCGTACGCCCATAAAAATAAAGGCCTCGTATATTTTTTAGGTCGTCATCGGATGCAGCACACGAAATTCTCGCCGTAGACACCCCCCTTGTATGTTTGATGACGTATGTTTGTGACAATGCCAACATCATTAAGAACTGCATATGAAATCGCAGCAGTTTATCTGTTGGATAGTCCATACTGGTCAGTGATCACTAACCAAAGCAGTGTTCAATAGCGATGCTCGCATTTGTTTCCTGGGTTGACAAGCCTTGTTTTAAAATCATCACTACTGCTACTGATTAAGACAGTTATGACATATTTATTTGAACCAAACTTAAAAGAAAGATTACTCTGAGGCATCCCAGGCATTCTTACGCAAAGTCCTTTGGTCCAGAAGATGTCGCCTTTCGTCTTTCAGAACACGTCAAAGCTATTGCAGCCAGTTGTGAGGTTTTGCGCAAATTTCAAAACTTTAAACTCGTTGTGGGGAGAGTAAATATCAATCGAGCGGACTCCATCGGTGGCTCCACCCTAATATACGTATAAGCATATGTATGTAGTTATGTAAGTACGGGTAGTTGAATGTAGTTGCGGTTGGGTTTAGCATTGACGAATTTATGTGTTTCTGCGTGCGTGAAGCAAATTGTGGCGTCAAAAAGTTATTCTAAATAAATTTGTGCTCTAAATAAAGTACTTAAAAGTTGTACTCTGGGCAACACTATACATATAAACATACATATATCTGTATATAAATACAAACGCAGTACGACGTCAAATGACCTTTATTATGCAAGGTAATTTCGGATTGATTTTATTTTTCGATGCGAATACAAGAAAATGGGAAATTAAGAGTAGGTACGTGCGTAAACCGATTATTTCCGTATGGAGAGTTTCTCTATGCACTGCAAAATGTTTATTGGTGATTGGAAATTTATTTGCTTAAGTTTCTAAATTTAAATTGAAAATTTGGTATTTCAATGCTTAAGCGTTCATCAAAGCTTTACTTGGTTTCAGTGTTGGTTTTCAAGCACAATAAATCAGTTTCTTCCATGTTCGTCACGATTCGATTGACGAAGTTGTCTCTTTTCAATGGCTGGGAGTCTAAATTAAATGAGGTAAGGGTTTTAATTTACCGCCACGGAAAGGAGATAACTTGCTCAAAATTTGACAGTCGACTTGGAGCGCATGACAGTGCGCTAATCATTGATTTATCAACGTTTGCTCGTATATGTATATTATTTGGTGTAATTATTTTGATCGATATATTTATCGATTTTGATTTAATCTCCATTCTCTAATTTGTTGCTTACTTTCAACTAGAAAAATTTAGTTGAATTTTTAAAATTTTTGTACAAAGTTTGAAATTTGAACTTACAAAGCTTTTGTTAGACCGTATCATTTTTTTGGCGGGATGTAAAGCAGAAAACCTCTCTCCTAATACCCGCATTAAAATATTTTATTTAACTTGCTACTTAAATTTATTATGAAGTTCTAAACAGGTGGCAGCTCCTTTTGAAAATATTTTTTGACATAAAGCTTTATTAAACCTCTCATGTTTGATGCCTATATTAAACTATTTCGTTTAACTGGTTAATTTTCTTTTTTTCTTTTTGCCTTTTGACCAGGTGGCCACCCCCATAAATAATATTTTCGAAATTAATCCTTTCTTAACTCCTTCTATTTCACACTCACAATGTTGTGATACTTTATCTAATTTATAATTAATCGATGTTAATTTTTCAAATAGGTGGCAACCCCTAAAAATATTTTCAGATTAAATCCTTCGGATATATACACTAGGGTGGTCCTAAAATGTGTGTAAAAAAGTAAAGTCGGAATTTTTATGCTCTCATTCCCAAGGATTGTTCTATACCGAAAAAAATATATCCCTATTTTTTTATTTTGAAATCAAAAAATATTTAAAGCTCGCTCAAATCGCCCAAATTTTATATGGGTAAAAACCAACTTTTCGTAGAAATGATATTGAATTCTTAAGAATCAACATTTTTCTATCGGAAAACCTTGTTTATCTGCAGGAGATTCCCAATAATAATACCCAATTATTTATTTAACAATTTTTTCATTGCAACTATAATTTATAGGTCCGCCAAAAACCCACAAAAACCTCGAAAAATGCAATGGGCAGACCAATAAAAAATCGTTTGTATTAAAAAATAGTTAAATAAGCAATTAGGTATGATTATTGAAAGGCTCCTGAAGATATAACCAGAGTTAGTTGAATTTGTTGTTTCCTGTGGAGACAGGGCCTTAATTTAAGCACAAATTAAAAACTGAATTTCCATCACTGTACCGACGTGTATCTTTGAAAGTTCATTGAATTTAAAATTTTATTTAGTTTTACACTAAATAAAACCACAAATGTTTCTTAAAATATCGTAGTTTTAATTTTCCTACAAGTCCGGCGGTTAATTCTTTATCGAAACGTTTTGTTTATCGCTTTTTTTCTAAAACTCATCAATTTTTACAAGCCTACGCGTGTAATCCGTATTTAAAAAGCTGAATTCGCAGAAAATAAGTTATGCAAACAGTAAGTTGCAAAACCAGAAACAATATTTAAAAAAAAAAAATCCTATTTGCGAACTAAATATCACGAACAATCCGAAAATGCGACTTTGCGCCATCTAACCGGCCGGCATGTGAAAAATACAAGTTTGTTGCTTTAGTCTTTTGTTCTGTAGCATCAGAGTGTTTACACTTTGTTATTTCAACTTTTTTGCAAACATCCGCCTACATATGCGGGTATGCATGTGAGTAGTAAGTAAATTTACTTGTACCACTATATGTATGTACATATTTTTATTTTAAAATTTCTTTGTTTTTTACAAACGAAATTTGCAGTTTTTTTTCATTTTATTTTATAATTTTTTTCATACAACATTTCGTTTAATATTGGATTTATCACCACGTCAACTTTGCTCACACCTTTTTGCGGCGAGTTGAATAACAATTTATTCAATAATGTACGAAGCGGCGAAAAATGAGCAACCAAATAAAAAATAGATTTAATTCAGAAAACCAGTCTGCAATGTAGCATTCCACCTGTTTGTTGTTGCACACTGAAATTCGGCTGTGGGCATGCGTCGACGGCGCACTTGCTCAAGATCGGGTTCAAGATTTTTGTCGCTGCAAACGACGACAGCAGCTTCAACTTTAACGGAGGCTTGGTACTGACTGAGAATGGAGCCGGCGAGCAGCTGCCGCACTGCACGCAACTGCATGCATGCGTGCGTCTGTCCGCCTCAGCAAGTTGCTCTTTCACTGACTGGTTGTCTAGTGGGTTGATTGATCCGTCGGCCACTTGGTCAATTAGTCGTTCGAGTGAATGCCTTGGCGAGTACCTGTGTTTTTTTTTTTTGTTTGATATTCAAGGTCAAATTCTTGTCTTACCTCTCAGCTTGCTTGGTTGGCTGTCGACAGACAACAGGTTGTATTGACGCATTGCTAATAAATTTTTGATTTGTATGAGCGTTAAGATTTTTTTCTAAACAGTGAAATTTTATTGTATATAAATATGTATGTGTATTTTAAAAAGTTTGAAAAATAACTAATTTTTCTAGCCATAAACAAACTAAAATAAGTATATTTACATGATTAAGCAATTATTTTTATTGCCTTTTTTGTGCAAATCGAACTTTGATTTTTTTCTTGGAGGCGAAATCACCATCATATTTATAGATATGTATTTGTTATTATTTTGTTAGTTTCTTGTACTCTATACTTGTTATGTGATTTGTTTTTAGTTCTTATAAATATTTTTGAAGTACAGCGCACTTCCTTATTCTTGCTTCCGCATTTTCAAAAGCTCACACACATACATATTTGTACTAATTTGTTTTCGCTTATTTATATATTATAATTTACCCTTCTCTTATTTCACTTCCCTCTTCTAGATCCCTGCTTGTATATCATGCGCTTCGCAAATAAACTACAGTTTGGCGCTAAGACGCATGAAGTCTCCATGACTGCCCTACGCATTGTCCAACGCATGAAAAAGGACTCGCTCCACTCTGGTCGGCGACCGACCGGGTTATGTGGTGCTGGTAAGTCTTAGTTTCCTAAAATAATAAATAAAATTAAAAAAGAATATGTATTTCTTTGTAAAAGAAAAAACCTAAAAATTACATTAGAAATAGAGATAAAAATAAAAGTTAATTGAAAAGAAAAAAATAAGAAATTAGATTTCACAAAATTAATGATTATTAAAAAAATATGTTTCTTTTTAAAACAATGAAATCTAAAAACTTGTAAAAATTTTATAAAAAAAGTTAAACTAAAAAAATTAAAAAAATTTCTGAATGAAAATAAAAATGAAAAAAAATACTTTACTTTTTAAAACAATAAAATTTAACTAAAAGGAATATTTTTAAAATAAAATAAGTTTCCAAAAATTAAATCAAATATATGTATTTTTATTTAAAAAAAAATATTAATCTTAAAATTAAAAGAAAATTAAATTAAAAAGGTAGCAAAATATTATTTTTAAACATATTAAAAAATCCGCTGCTCGAGTTCTGGAGTTCTTGGATCTCTCGTATGGCTCACCAGTGCTTTTCTCACTCCACCATCATTGCCATTGTTAGAGCAAAATAATATAGAAGTGCTTTCTGTAAAAAAAGCTTTTCATCGTGAAAGTGGGAAAGGAAGCTTTTTTTGTAAGACTTTCGCGCCAGAATAAACAAAATCTTTCAAACGATCGTTCCTACTTTCTTGCAATTATGTCTTACAAAATTGTTTCAACTGTCTTAACCAGAATTGTTCTGTTAGTTAATATGGGATGAAAAATGTTCTGTTTCTCCTTTTTAATGCCCCGTATTTGTCCCATATCCCAAAATAAGTTTTTGCAATGACTTAATTTTACCAGTTCATTGTCATAGCATAGCTATAAGCTCAGATGACTAATGCTCAAGCCTACTTACGAGAAAATTTTAGGACTATATCGTCGTTCAAATACCGTGGAAGACCAGCACATTTCATTATTCGCGTCGAAATGTAGCACATTTCAGGGCTCGACTCGTCACATACGATATCGTATTACTCGTCACGTAAACACATTTTTCCGATTATGATATACGTGAACGTACTCTTTATCCCATTCATCTTTTACGACTGACGTATCACGTCATTTTCTTTCGTATGGTTTTCGATCCGTTAACGGATGTCATGATTCGAGTCCATTTTTTGCTTGAATTGAATTAGCCAAATCACAAATCCATAAATCAAATTTATTTCTGAATTAAAAGTTGCATCCATTCCTATATAAATTTTATTTCTGATTTGATTCGTCAACCAAATAAAAAATAAAATTTATTTGTGATTTGAATTACCCATCACTCAAAATGTCAGAAAGTACAAAAGTTCTCTCAAATTCTCTCTCAAGTAGAGAAACTTGCAAATTTCTGCACGAACGCAAATTTATAGGAATTTGCAAGTTTCCCGGCAAGCTGGTGTCCACGGTTTCATTTCAAGCGTAATTAATTTCTATAGTATTTTTAAAATTATTTTAAATTGACAAAAAATTAGGATCTACAGGTATATTTCTTGTTATTCTGACATCCTTTAACATACGTTTTAACTTCTTTGTCGTGATAACTGTCGGAGTCTGGTTGCGATTGCATCCCTATTGTGAATGCAGTTTCTATCAGCCGAGCATCTTTCAAATCGTTAGAATTAACTAAATTAATTAAACAACCAAGCATTTACTTACATTTTTCATTAGAAAATCACTCAAGTTTATATATTTTATTAAAATTTTCGTCGAAAAAATGTAACCATGTGTCAAAATCATATATTTTTTCGTGATTTCGAATTCTTGCTGGCAAAATTTTTTTGTCTATATTAGTTGTACTGGTCGTACCCAACAGTTGAATGCCGTACTTTAAAAACACTACTTGCATACTGTTCTATTTTCGTAATATCCTATTAAGGCAGCAACCTCAATCAACGCAACAACCCCCATTTTTATCAGTTACTTTTACCGAGGACGTACTGTATGTAAAATGTATTTTTGCTCTAGAAATTAAAGTCCGAAAGTAATCAGTATTTCTTGCTCAAAATAATAATGGAAAGTTTATTAATTAAATCAAAAGGAAATCACATTCTATAACATTTTCCGCACCAAAATTATTTAGTGTTGCCCTGTGTAATCGCTCATATGCATGTACACACGAGCTGAAATGAACTACTGTGACTCACTGCATATTGTTCTTAGTAAATAAAAATAGCCGCACCGGCATATGCCCGGGTAGCTCAGTCGGTAGAGCATTGGACTTTTAATCCAAGGGTCCAGGGTTCAAGTCCCTGCTCGGGCGGCAGTAATTTTTTTTATTAAAATAAATATAATATATAGAGCGCTTTTAAAAAATATCTATGCGTAATTTAATAACAAAGTATGTATTACTTTCTTAATTCGATTGCAGCTTTATTGATTGCGGCACGCATGCATGAATTCAGTCGTACGATCATGGATATTGTTGGCATTGTCAAAATACATGAATCTACCGTACGCAAGCGGTTAATTGAATTCGCCGACACTCCCTCCAGCGCGCTCACTCTGGATGAATTTATGTCCGTTGATCTGGAAGCCGAGCAAGATCCACCGGCCTTTAAGGCAGCGCGGAAAAAGGATCGCGACCGTATCAAAGATGTGAGTAATGATACTTTGGTATTTAATTTGAGTACATACAAATATGTACATACGTAAGTTTTGTAATAATCTAATATATAAAATAATAATTTTATTACTTAAAACATCATAAAGTGTAATATCCTAAATACATGCAAGTCAATTGAGTTTCCGTTCTAAATATTTGTTGTTCAATTCTCTTAAAATTTTTACTGTGAATCACATTCTCACAGACTCTCTTAGGTGATCGTCTCTTAAAGAGTGTTGAGCATTAAAATTGCCAGCTTGTGTTTTGTAGCGCATTTGACATCAGATCATGGAGTGCCCGGCTAGCTCAGTCGGTAGAGCATGAGACTCTTAATCTCAGGG